GGTCCACAGTCTCTCATGGGTCCCTGTACGGCCTCCCATTGCTGCTGTCTCCATCGCCACACTCTGCCATGTGCCACTTTCAGGTCTCTTCACACTGCTGGTGTGTTCCATTTTTTGTCATAGGGTGCTGGCAGATTACGGGCCTCCCATAGCTGCTGCCAGGCCCCTAATCTGCCATGGGCCCCTGTACACGCCTCCTCATGTGCTGCCAGGTCCAGAGTCTCTCATGGGTCCCTGTACGGCCTCCCATTGCTGCTATCTCATCGCCACACTCTGCCATGTGCCACTTTCAGGTCTCCTCACACACTGCTGGTGTGTTCCATTTTTTGTCATAGGGTGCTGGCAGATTAGGGGCCTCCCATTGCTGCTGCCAGGCCCGTAATCTGCCATGGGCCCCCGTACCGACTCCTCATGCTGCTGCCAGGCCCCTAATCTGTCATGGGCCCCTGTTGTCGCTTGTTGGCATCTTACGCTCGTTCAGATGCTCCTTCTCCTGCTACTCCTCTTCACGGATTCCGTCAGCATTCTTTCTTGGAATCCGTTTCCAAGAGACAACAGTTTGCGAGCACGCACCCGACGGTGCAGAAGCTGAACGTCCTCCTGTCCAAGTTGCTGCTGCCAGGCTCGTAATCTGTCATGCGCCCCTGTACCGCCTCCTCATGCTGCTGCCAGGTCCAGAGTGTGTCATGGGTCCCTGTACGGCCTCCCATTGCTGCTGTCTCCATCGCCACACTCTGCCATGTGCCACTTTCAGGTCTCCTCACACTGCTGGTGGTTTCCATTTTTGTCATAGGGTGCTGTATGGCCTCCCATTGCTGCTGCCTCCACCGCCACACTGTGGCTCCACACTCTGGTTTTGGCCCCGTGACTGCCCAAATGAGTGAAGTGTGTGGTGATTCTAAGATCGACGGCACTCATCTGCATGTCATACTGACTGTCAGTATTATTTCTCTTCCCCAGCAGACTCCAAGGGCATTTAAATTAAAGGTACAGTGTTCTGCACTAATATAAAGGCTCTCTGAAGCCTAGAAACACCCTTTTATAAGTTAAATTCGCAGCGAATATATTCGACTCAAATCGAAATTTTTTCACGAATTCGCCGAATCAGTCGAATCGAATTTTTGAATAATTCGCTCATCTCTAGCAGCGTCCATCTTCTTACTTGATTAGCCACTCTGGAATCGCTTTGGAACACCTGCTCCCTTTCCTTTGCTGGCGGGTGATTTTTGTTATACTTCCAGCTTGGAGCAGTGCCGCAAGGTATTTCCATAGCCCGTATTCTTTTGCTTCAGCTGTAGGATGAAACACCTAGCTAACAGGTGGGAAGCCTCACTTTCGTCATTCACTCCGTGTGCTGCTAGTAATAAGAAAACAACTGCTGCAAAAGTGACTGCAGAGCTCAATCACAGTCTTCATGGGACTGAGATTGAGCTCTGTAGTCACTTTTCCAGCAGTTGCTCTCTTATTCCCATTCACTATCCTATGCAATATCCTTTTGTCTCTTTGGGTCAGTTGACCATGTCGACCGTGCTTTTGCTTTTCAGACGTTTGTCTGGAAACTGTATATGCCATCATAGACTTTGATACTGTTCTTCATGACACGGAAAATAAACTGGCAACTTCAGTCACAGAGACACCAGCTAAGCGGGCTCCAACAATGTGCCCTGTATGAAACTCCATATTTCCAGCAGCACACGCAGTGAATGACAAAAGTGAGGCTTCCCACCTGTTAGCTAGGTGTCTCAGCACACAATGGAAACAAAAGAATGTTACATCACTTCCGCTTTCAGCACAAAACATGGCGTCACTTTCACACCTGAAATCATGTAGTCCTTCCATTTTTTTTTTTTATTTTTGTCTAACCCTTGTATATCAACAAATGTATTGATCCTACAGTGTTTAGTCTAGGTTAGAGTTGGACAAGGTTGATATTTGTGAGACTTTCATGCAGCATTTGAAGTACAAGAACTGAAAGAAATTTGATATATTTATTTATATTTGATTATATTCTTCCTACACAAATTAAAGTCCAATTGAACTTTTAGTTTAGTTCCTTAATTTTTTGCCCTAGCGGCTCATTGTTTTTGCTTCTTTGTAATCATAATCTACTGTGCAGTCACTTCTACTATTATTAATGTTCTCCATCTACCTGCAATTCCCTGCCTTTAACAAGGTACAGTTTCCAGAGTTTTACATACAAGAAACATAAGGTCAATTCAAATTGCTGAGGTTTGTAAAAGATAAAACTCGTGCACAATTTTCAAAATGTGCATGAGATATAGATTTTTTAATCAATAACAGAATGCTTTAGAGGAAACTACATGATTGTTCTAGCAATCATCTTACATTTATAATCATAACCAACCCTGTATCATTTTATTTGTACTGACTGTACACAATACAGTCAGTACAAAATAAATTTTATTTTGAGGTTCTGTATTCTGTTAAAATATGACTATTGATTGTTATTCAGTTCTGAAACAAATAAAACACTATAGCAAAAAAAAACACATCTCCGATTAAGGCTCTAAAAAAAGATTCATATAAATAACGCATAAAAAGTGGAGGTCAAGCTTGCTTACAAAATGTGGCTTTTCCATTGAAGACTTCGCGTTTTTTTTTTTTTTTTTACTTCAAATCAACTTATGGCTATATTGCACTAATAAAGAAGTATCTTACACAAAATCACTTCCTCAACTCCTATCACTGCATCTACTCCTCTTGCTTCATACATCCAGGATACGGCACTTCCCACTATTGATCCTCAACAGGCAGAGGACCTGGATACGCCTCTATCCATCCAGAGCAACTTTAAGAGGTTCTCGACATGATAAATACTTAAAAGTAGGTAAATGTCCAGGTTCTGACAGGTTTACACCCTGTTTTTTTACAAAACTTTTGCGGAGCATCTTGCTCCTATTATGGTTCACAACCTTCAATTTAATCGACGACTCTCTCATCCTTTATCCCCCCTCTTACTTTCCTTTAATATAACTCTCATTCCTAAAACCCGGTAAAGATCCCATGCAGTGTGGTAATTACAGACCTATTTCACTCTTGAACATAGACTGAATAAATTTACTCTAAGATATTGGCCTCTAGAATATCACCATCATTACCCACGATTATTTACACTGACCAAGTCGGATTTGTCCCTGGTAGCGAAGCTAGAGACAATACAACAAACTGTAAAAATTAAATTTCCTACATTCAGAAGCACAATCTCCAATCCTGCATTCTGTCTTTTGACGCTGAGAAGACCTTTGACAGGGTCAGTTGGGCTTTTTTACATCTTTCTCTCCAACAAAATTGGCCTAGGTCCCAACTTTATTACCAAAGTTAAGGCACTCTATTTCCTCTCCATCAGCATCGATTTTAGTAAACGGCACCTGCTCCAAGCCTTTTAAGATTTCAAACAGAACCAGTGTCAGGAATCAAGGAGTGACCAGAAAGGTGTGGACTGACACAGGGAAACGCAGGTTTCAGGTATAGTATAATAATACAGGTTATTATTAGCCACCCAGATATATATATATATAAAAACGCACAGTGAACAAACTAACCTTCCACTAATCTTAGGAGGTGCAGGAACACAGGCGTAGTCAGGGCTGGAGAGGTGGAATGGTCAGGCCGGCCGTAGGGTTCTGTAACGACTGCCTGGTGGTACCTCTAGCGGTCCTCAGGGCAGGATTCCCCAGGGCGCGGAGTCTAAGTCCCAGTCTGCTATTCACCAGGGCCCCTGATGGTGGGGATGGACTTGGAGCAGACAGGAACCAGGTCGCGGCCCCTGAGTACACCTGCTAGTGATAGAGGGATCCGCCAGAGGTATGTGCAGGTACGGCTGGATCCGTGCAGGATGGATGGATGGCAGAGTAGTGAGCGTGGTCAGACGGGCCAAGTCAGCAACGTGCGGGCAGCAAGGTATCAAAGGAGCAGGCAGAGAATGGTCAAGGTCACAAGCCGGGTTCAGTAACTCACGGACAGCGCAGTACAGAGGATCAGGCCGAAGGATGGTGTCAGGCTCCGCCCAGCGGGATCTCTAGTGGTCCACGGCACGGGGTTTCCCAGGACGCGGAGTCTAAGTCCCAGTCTGCCTTTTCACCAGAGCCCCTGATGGTGGGGATGGACTTGGTGCAAGACTGGAACCAGGTCGCGTCCCTGGGCACCCCCGGCGGTGGCAGAGGGGTCCCGCTGAGGGTATGTGCCCGGGATGAGTCTGCTGTGAAGGGGATGACAGACCCTGATCCGAGCGGGATGGATGGGATGACAGATCCCGATCCGAGCGGGATGGATGGACGACTGCTAGGAGTGAGCGAGGTCAGACTAGCCGGGTCGGTATCGTGCGGGCAGCGTGGGTACAGAGGGAGCAAGCGGAGGATGGTCGGGGTCACAAGCCAGGTTCAGCAGGTAGCGGGCAGCGTGGTACAGAGAGTCAGTCAGAGGGATGGTCAGGAACGAGCCGGGGTCAGAGCAGGAGAGGGGTCAGCGTAATCAGAACAGGCAGAGTTTGGCAACAAGGAAAACGTACTAGCAGGAACACAGGAACAGGAACAAGACCTTGCGGCACTTTGGAAATGCACAGGGCAGATTTAAATAGGGCGCCCTGAGTTTCCATTGGCGCGGGCCGCGATCGCTACTGCGCATGCGCGGCGGCCGCCGCGATCTCTGTATTCGCCGGCCAGGAAGAGTCGGCGATCTGCGCATGCGCGCGACGCTGAGCGGCCGGGATCCCTGACAGATGGTCAGGGATGAGCCAGTAGTCAGAACAGGAGACGGTCAACAGGAATCAGGATCAGGCAGGGTCGCAACAAGGTATCTTCTCACAGGAACTAGGAACAGGATACAGGGGCTCATGGGAAAAACATACACCAAGGCCCAGAGCACAGGCCTGGTCATGCCTTATATACACCTTTCTGTAATCAGCCCCAGGTTTGGCTGATTGTGAGCTTCTGGCTGCTAAGAGCACCCCTGGGTCAGCTCTGGTACTGCAGCCCACACGGCAGGAGAGTCCCACCACCAGTGCTGAGAGCACCCGCTGGTCAGCTCTGGTACTGCAGCCCACACGGCAGGAGAGTCCCACCACCAGTGCTGAATCCATTCCTGACAGAACCCCCCCCTCAAGGAGCGGCCTCAGGACGCTCCAAACAGTCCTTGGTGGGCAAAATGTTCCACCGCCCGGGTCCGGTAACTGGCTGAAATATCCTACTGCCGGAGTAAACCGGCTGGCTGGGTTTCCTGCTGGTAGACTTCTCTTTGTGTAGGAGAATCAAGGAAGGCAGGTCACTGGGCACAGGATTTCCAGGAGCAGGCTGGGTATCAGTTATCGGCCAGTTTAACTGGACATCAGGGGCTGGCATGTCGGGCTGTGTAGCGGGCAGAGGCACGTCAGCGGGCACCGAGTCATCTGGCACGACAGCGGGCACAGAGTCACCGGGCACGTCAGCGGGCACCAAGCCTTCTAGCAGAACCGCGGGTACCGGGTCACCAAGCTCGACAGCAGGCACCGAGTCAACTGGCACAACAGCGGGCACTGAGTCAACTGGCACGACAGCGGGCACCGAGTCAACTGGCACGACAGCGGGCACCGAGTCAACTGGCACGACAGCGGGCACCGAGTCAACTGGCATCGAGTCATCTGGCTCGACAGCGGGCACCGAGTCAACTGGCACCGAGTCAACTGGTACGACAGCGGGCACCGAGTCAACTGGCACCAAGTCAACTGGTATGACAGCGGGCACCGAGTCATCAAGCATCAAGTCATCCGGCTCAACAGCGGGCACTGAGTCATCAAGCATCAAGTCATCCGGCTCAAACAGCGGGCACTGAGTCAACTGGCACCGAGTCAACTGGTACGACAGCGGGCACCAAGTCAACTGGCACCGAATCATCAGGCATCAAGTCATCTGGCTCGACAGCGGGCACCGAGTCAACTGGCACCGAGTCAACTGGTACGACAGCGGGCACCGAGTCAACTGGCACCGAGTCAACTGGCACGACAGTGGGCACCGAGTCAACTGGCACGACAGCGGGCACCGAGTCAACCGGCATCAAGTCATCCAGCTCAACAGCGGGCACTGAGTCAACTGGCACCAAGTCAACTGGTACGACAGCAGGCACCAAGTCAACTGGCACCGAATCATCAGGCACCAAGTCATCTGGCTCGACAGCGGGCACCGAGTCAACTGGCACCAAGTCAACTGGTACGACAACGGGCACTGAGTCATCAGGCATCAAGTCATCCGGCTCAACAGCGAGCACTGAGTCAACTGGCACCGAGTCAACTGGTACGACAGCGGGCACCAAGTCAACTGGCACCGAATCATCAGGCATCAAGTCACCTGGCTCGACAGCGGGCACCGAGTCAACTGGCACCAAGTCAACTGGTACGACAGCGGGCACCGAGTCAACTGGCACCGAGTCAACTGGCAGGATGGTACAGTGAGTGGGAGTAGGGTACCGACATGTGGCAGATTGCTGGGTATACTGGGCTTTCACTGGGGGGGCTGTCACTGGGGGTGCTGTCGGGAATGCAGGAAAAGAGCTTTGAGCAGAGGAATGATGAGAAACAGGACTGGTTCGTTGCAAGCTGATTGAGGCTGGGTGTAACAAGTCTGACCATGTCTGCAGTAAGGGTTGGACAACGCTCAGCTTACACAAGGCCTGTCTGATCAAAGTTTGCACTGCGTTTATACACTTCTTTAGCACCTGTGGTGAATATGCTGAATAATGCTCCAAGAAGCAATCCGGATCATCCTCCAACAACCATACCAGTGATATTATTTGACTCGCCCTGAATGGAGGAAGAAATTCATCCCTGCTTTCAGGGGTACTAGATGAAGCCAACTCAATACAAGCCTGAATCAATGGTTGCACCTCAGAGAGCTCTAGGTCCTGACCTACTAGGGAATGAGCGACCCGTATGCACTCTAGCAGCTGATCCCGGGTATACTCCCGCAGAGTCTTATAGGCATATTCTCTGTCATCAAAGACTAGCATAGACAAATATATAACCTCATCAGGATGCATCCTTCACGACAAGTCAAGATGGCTTCCCTGTGCAGCCACTTCTGGTCAGGAAAGGCCTTGGTGTGATGTCAGGAATCAAGGAGTGACCAGAAAGGTGTGGACTGACACAGGGAAACGCAGGTTTCAGGTATAGTAGTATAATACAGGTTATTATTAGCCACCCAGATATATATATAAACGCACAGTGAACAAAACTAACCTTCCACTAATCTTAGGAGGTGCAGGAACACAGGCGTAGTCAGGGCTGGAGAGGTGGAATGGTCAGGCCGGCCGTAGGGTTCTGTAACGACTGCCTGGTGGTACCTCTAGCGGTCCTCAGGGCAGGATTCCCCAGGGCGCGGAGTCTAAGTCCCAGTCTGCTATTCACCAGGGCCCCTGATGGTGGGGATGGACTTGGAGCAGACAGGAACCAGGTCGCGGCCCCTGAGTACACCTGCTAGTGATAGAGGGATCCGCCAGAGGTATGTGCAGGTACGGCTGGATCCGTGCAGGATGGATGGATGGCAAAGTAGTGAGCGTGGTCAGACGGGCCAAGTCAGCAACGTGCGGGCAGCAAGGTATAAAGGAGCAGGCAGAGAATGGTCAAGGTCACAAGCCGGGTTCAGTAACTCACGGACAGCGCAGTACAGAGGATCAGGCAGAAGGATGGTCAGGGATGAGCCAGTAGTCAGAACAGGAGACGGTCAACAGGAATCAGGATCAGGCAGGGTCGGCAACAAGGTATCTTCTCACAGGAACTAGGAACTAGGAACAGGATACAGGGGCTCATGGGAAAACATACACCAAGGCCCAGAGCACAGGCCTGGTCATGCCTTATATACACCTTTCTGTAATCAGCCCCAGGTTTGGCTGATTGTGAGCTTCTGGCTGCTAAGAGCACCCGCTGGTCAGCTCTGGTACTGCAGCCCACACGGCAGGAGAGTCCCACCACCAGTGCTGAGAGCACCCGCTGGTCAGCTCTGGTACTGCAGCCCACACGGCAGGAGAGTCCCACCACCAGTGCTGAATCCATTCCTGACAACCAGACAGGGCTTCCCCCTATCTACTCCCCTACATTTTGCACTAGTCACTGAACATTTAGCACAGGCCATTACACAAAATGATACCATATTAGGTATCCCTACTTCGGCTGCTAACTATAAACTTTCCCTCTACGCTGACGACCTGCTCCTATGTATATATTTAGCAACCCCATAGTAGTTTTACCCTCTATAGCCCACAAATTCAAACTGTTTGGTGATCTCTCTAATTTTAAACTTAATATCTCCAAAACTGAAGCCCTTAATATCTCAATCCCTCCTTCCTCCCTCTAACTTCTACGCTCTAATTTTCCCTTTCATTGGTCAGACCGTTCCCTCCAGTATTTAGGCATTGTCATCCCCGCCACTATTTCAGATGTTTAGTCTCTCAACCATAGTCCTCTTTTATCCCAGATCTGTATAGATTTGGATGTTTGGCATACCAAACCTATTCCCTGGGTTGGAAAAATAAATGCCCTAAAGATGGACTCCTGAAGCTTCTTTACTTTTTTTCAAACCTTACCCATTGTACTTCCTTCTTCCTTCTTCTGCACACTTCATTTGCTTTCCTTTCAATTTATGTGGCATAAACAAGTCTCTCGACTTAAACTCCACACTTTATATTTACATAAACATGCTGGTGGAGCGAGACTTCCGGACTTTGAATGTTACTACATAGCCACGATCCTAGCACGCTTACCTGTCTGGTTTGCGTACCCTTATTTCAAGGCCTCTCCTATGATAGAGAATGAAATGTCCCCGTATGATCTCCGAGCCCTACTATGGGGCTATGAACACTCCTATATGAAATTTTCTGGTCTTTCCCTCCTCACCTTAGCAACTCTACACATTTGGTACAAGCATAGGGCTTCCCATGCCTTATCCACAGACCTTAGTTACCTCTTTTCTATCTTTGACAACCCAGGCTTCCCAGGGGGCTTAGGTATACAATCTATAGGCAGCTTCCACTGCACCATGTGGTCTCAAGCAAGGCATATTCTCTTTTCTCCCATGACAGGCTGTCCCATGCCAGGCCTAGAGTTGCTGACTGCACACCAGTTTTCAGTTTTCCACAAATCCCTTAGGTCATTGCAGTTCACTAGACGACCCTTAACAGACTTTGAACAGCTGTGCTCTCTCTCAGAATCGCCCAGAAACATGCTGTCCATGATCTACAAAATTCTTCAATCATATCATTTGGTTAGTTACACCACATGTGTAATTCCACCGGGCTGCCCCAGATTCCTCCACAATCCTCTTTCTATTCTCTTTCTTTCTTCTTTTCTTTTCTGTCCATTACGTTTACATCACTCTTCAATATGTAGATTGAACTATAAGTGTACTCTGTTTGAATCATCATTTATTATATATGGCCTTGATTGTGAGGGGCATACATGCTGCCATAAGGTTTCAGTCTAAGTTGTATTACTCCATTCATACTGTATGTATTACATCAGAACCTTATATTTGAGTTTTCAGACAGACTCTGCCCATGGCTGTAATCCATTGTTTTGTTGATTTTTTGTGGTCTATACATGCTGTGAATGTTTTATTTGTACACTTTCCAATAAAAAATAAATATATTCAACCATAAAAAGAAAGTGCTCTTTCATTAAAGATTTTGAAACAAATGCTAAGCAGATGGAGACTATGTTCTTAGAATGTGGATACAAAAGCATACAAGTACTTAAGCTTATCAGTCAGTAAGGAAAATGCCAAGGACAGACCTTCTTGGCAATAGAAAGATTTCCAGTGTAAACAAGAAAACAATGACAGCCACTACACCTTTAGTTTTTTCACCATGATACAGTAATTAATATCATTCTATTAATCATATCATCTCCCAATATCTACCAATCTTGAATGGAGATCCAGCTTAAAAAGTCATCTTGTTTGAAAATGTGAACCTTGTTACCAGACGGGCTAAAACTATAGAGAATATAGTTTTCCCTAGCCTGTTTCTTTCTAAGCAATCTGAGAAAACCTGGTTACATACCACAGCTTTCTTCAGATGCAACGCTATCTGATGTTCTAGTTGCCGATTCATTGTAGATCCCCATACTGTCACTTCTTGTGCTAATGGCAACAACTACGACATTAGACAGTGAATTGCCACACTTGATATGTAATCTATATTATTACTTGTCAAAAATTTAACACGTGGGCCGCATTTTAGACATTTTAGATTGCATCATAATTTTGATATCGTCTTTCAAAGTACAAATTATTGAGCGCTTAGATTCCCACACAAGAGGGGGGGGGCGTTTCTCTAACCTCTGTACAAGAGAAGTCTTCTGGATATTCAAACTTGAAACTCAAATACCTAAAGGATTAAACTTTGAGTGGGATCTCACTTATTTCTGTGAATGGTACAATTTTGTAACCTTTAAATTTTCCTAACCTTCTAATTTTTCAATGTTTTTTTATTTAGTCCTTCATTCATCCCCCCCCCCCCTTCTCCACCTATCATCCTCTCCCCTCCCCTCCCTTCCCTCCCCCTAAACATCCCCCAACCCCCTCTTCTCCTCTCCCTCCCCAATCCCTCCCCCCCTGCCCCCCTTTCCCTTCCCCTTAAGCCTCTTTTCCCTTTTCCTTCTTCATTCAATGTTTTCTTTAAAAAACACTTTTGCTACATAATATATTTTATGTACTATATGACATCCCTGACTAAGGACAACAGAGCTTTGTTTTTAATAAGCAATACCAATTTTTTATTTGTTTATTTTGCATTTTCACATCCAAATTTCATGTACACCCTTTTTAGACATGCACTTCTTCTTTAATTTTTTCTTTAATTTTTTACATAGTTTTTCACACATATGTTTGTTCTAATTCCTCTTTTTCTCAATTAGAATAAAAAAATTGTTTTTTTCTATTTCCCCCATTTTTTTTATTTATTTTTTATTTCATTTTTTCTCACTTTGTTATAGTTTTTTATTTCATTTTTCATTTTCTTATTTTCTATCTTTATTTTTTTTTACATTTTTAATTTTTATTATATTATCATTGTTATTTTCATTATTTGTATTCTTATTTGCATTTATGTTTTCCAATTTTCGATAATAATTATAATAATAATAATGATAAAGTGCTTATTCATCTTTATCATTTTATTCATTTTTTTGTCTGGCCCTTCTGTTTGTCTGACATAATGTAAAGATACATAGAAACACATTTAAGGGGATGAAGTAATGTGGGACAAATACCTACTGTTCAATGTTCTACTTACTCTACCAAGTAATGGGCAATACTCTTCGAATATGGAAATATTTTGACTGTCGAGCAGGGATTTGTGAACTGTACACTGGGAGTATAAACCAGGTAATAGACACCTCAAACTACCCTTCTTTAACTGGTTCTATATAATAAATTAAGACATTGATGAGGAATGCATAGTGGTAGTGTCCACTACTGTGACAATTGTGGCAATCCCTGATCTTATTCGGGTCTCATATAAACTGTCATAAGGAGTGCACCACCCAGGATTATACAATCAATCTTTCCCATCCAATTTCTAGTAGGAACACCAGTTCATATAAAGCTTTATTTGCCGCATCTAAGAACGAACCTGGGTGTCATAGAGCAGAGACAGTGTAAGGGACCGCCCGGCGGTACTACTAGCACTCCACTGAGTAGGCGTCCCCAGCGCACGGAGTCTAAGTCCCAGGGTGCTTGTTCACCAGAGCCCCTGATGGTGGGGATGGACTTGGAGCTCCCTGAGACCAGGTCGTGGCTACTGGGTGCGCCCGTCAGTGGTAGCAGTATGCGCAAGGGGCTCCCACGGGGAAGAGTCTGATGTGAGGAGGTCAGAAGACCCCGCTGCACGGGATGGATGGATGGATGAGCAAGGTCAGACGGGCCGGGTCGGTAACAGAGAGGGCGGCAAGGTACAAGGCAGCGGGCATAGAATGGTCGGGTCACACGCCAGGTCAGCAACAGCAGGTCAAATCCAATAGGGGGCATTCAGGAGAGAGGTCAGGCAAAGCAAGGGTCAGAATAGGAGAAACAGCAAGGTCAGGTACAATCCGGGTCAATAACTTACAGGGTACAGGTTCACAGGATTCAGGATGCAGGAAAGACCAGAAGGCACTGAATGACAGCTCAGGGTCGTTTAAATATCCCGCCCTGCGCTGCCATTGGTGTGCCCAGCGGGCGGCCGCGGCTTCTACTGCGCATGCGCGAACTCGAACGCCGCGGCCGGCCCGGAACCAGTGCTCGAGTCCCTGCGCCGGGCGGCATACTGCGCCTGCGCCGGGACCAACGCGGCGGGGATCGAGGGGATCCCTGACATTGCCCCCCCCCTACGGGCAACCTCCGGATGCCCACCCGATCTCTCCACCACGGGTGATCGCGAAAGAACCTCCGGACAAGTCTGGGTGCATGGACATTATGGGCTGGTTCCCAAGAATTGTCCTCAGGACCATAGCCCTTCCATTTGATAAGGAATTGGGTCTGGCCTCCCCTCCTTCGACACTTCAGGATTGTTTCAACCTCGAACTCTTCTTCTCCTTCGACCGTTACCGCTTCCGGGGGTCTAGATTCCCGGTCAGGGAAGGCATCTGGGACCACAGGCTTCAGAAGGGACACATGAAAGACCGGGTGGATCTTGAGCGTGTCAGGGAGGGCGAGTTCGTAGGCTACTTCGTTAGCCATCCGTTTAATGC